GAGTCATTGAGCAAGTGTTATATAATTAATCACTGGTGAAGTCCAATTTCATTTTGCCATTGAAAATTCATGTCAATACATCACCATTTCAAAAAAGAAAAATTACTTCATTATAGTGTTACCTGTGTCAAATGTGCCATTTGTCCAGGACGGTTAAGAGATGTGCCATCTCACCTTAACACTACATGTAGCAATTAATCTACTTTGAAAGGTATCCAGTATCTAACAGGGAAGCCATCGAGCAAGTGCTCTTTAACTATATATAATTAATCACTGGTGAAGTCCAATTGCATTTTGCCATTGAAAAATCATGTCGATATATCACCATTTCAAAAAAGAAAAATTACTTCATTATAGTGTTACCTGTGTCAAATGCGCCATTTGTCCAGGACGGATAAGAGATGTGCCATCTCACCTTAACACTATACATGTAGCAATTAATCTACTTTAAAATGAGTACAGTATCTATTATCTAACAGGGAAGCCATTGAGCAAGTGCCCTTTAACTATATAATTATAATCACTGGTGAAGTCCAATTGCATTTTGCCATTGAAAAATCATATCGATACATCGCCATTTCAAAAAAGAAAAATTACTTCATTATAGTGCTACCTGTGTCAAATGTGCCATTTGTCCAGGACGGTTAAGAGATGTGCCATCTCACCTTAACACTACATGTAGCAATTAATCTACTTTGAAAGGAATACGGTATCTAACAGGGAAGCCATTGAGCAAGTGCCCTTTAACTATATAATCAATCACTGGTGAAGTCAAATTGCATTTTGCCATTGAAAAATCATGACGATACATGGCCATTTCAAGAAAGAAAAATTACTTCATTATAGTGTTACCTGTGTCAAATGTGCCATTTGTCCAGGACGGTTAAGAGATGTGCCATCTCACCTTAACACTACATGTAGCAATTAATCTACTTCAAAATGAGTACAGTATCTAACAGGGAAGCCATTGAGCAAGTGTTCTTTAACTATATAATTAATCACTGGTGAAGTCCAATTGCATTTTGCCATTGAAAATTCATGTCGATACATCACCATTTCAAAAAAGAAAAATTACTTCATTATAAACACGTTCTACGACAGGGTTGCATATTCTATTCAGCTCAAAATTAGACAAATCTTACGATTTGATGAAGAATTTGCAATAAATGTTGAAAATTTTGGATAAAGGTTGCCAAAAATTGCAAATATCATAACGTCTCCGAGGCTGTGTGGCAATATTTTCAAATGTTCGTTTCATTTAGCAAGAAATTTTAAACCAACCATTTAGACGAAAAGTCTATTTCAACTGCATTGCAGTATGGAAAAAGTATAAACTTATTTTTTATGAGAATGATTACAATTTTCAATAATAATGTCAAGAAAGTTAATTGTTATGTCATGCACAATTCGCGCATTTATTGTGTAATTAGCAAACTTGCATAAAACTCTGGATATATTTGAGGAATAACATTCTAATGTTCATGCCAGTGTCGACATTGGCAAGTTTCTGTGATAAAAATCAAATAGCAATAAAATATTATCCAAACTTTTGTGGGAAGATACATTACTAAGAGGAAATAGGAGTTTTGTTCCATAATCATCAACTTTATATGACCGAGGTATTATTACTATCGTCAAATTTCATAGACGCAGAGATATTGGGTTGTTAAGTAAGTTTAGAGTATGTAGAAATCTATGGAATGGTGTGGGATGCATGCATCCAACAGAACCAAGGTGGTGTTAGTGGCATCCAATCCAAAATGGCGTTGGTGCATCCAACACAAAAATGGTGTTAGACGTTTCCAAAACCAAAATGGTGTTGGACACATCCAAAACCAAAATGGTGTTGGACACATCCAAAACCAAAATGGTCTTGGACACATCCAAAACCAAAATGGTCTTGGACACATCCAAAACCAAAATGGTCTTGGACACATCCAAAACCAAAATGGTGTTGGACACATCCAAAACCAAAATGGTGTTGGACACATCCAAAACCAAAATGGTGTTGGACACATCCAAAACCAAAATGGTGTTGGACACATCCAAAACCAAAATGGTGTTGGACACATCCAAAACCAAAATGGTGTTGGACACATCCAAAACCAAAATGGTGTTGGACACATCCAAAACCAAAATGGTGTTGGACATATCCAAAACCAAAATGGTGTTGGACACATCCAAAACCAAAATGGTGTTGGACACATCCAAAACCAAAATGGTGTTGGACATATCCAAAACCAAAATGGTGTTGGACACATCCAAAACCAAAATGGTGTTGGACACATCCAAAACCAAAATGGTGTTGGACATATCCAAAACCAAAATGGTGTTGGACATATCCAAAACCAAAATGGTGTTGGACACATCCAAAACCAAAATGGTGTTGGATGCACGAAAAAAAAATGGTGTTGGACGCATCTAAAACCAAAATGGTGTTGGTATTCCATGGTATTCAAAATGGTTTGGTCAGCAGGGATGAAAACATTCTGCCCTATAAATGCGGTTAAATGTATGGTCAGATACTAGCTGGAATATAATATTGCAGAGTTTATTATATGTATATGTAGTCAATTCTGAAATGAGACACAAGGGTTTTAAATTAAATTAAACTAGGGTTTTGCCTTGGCATTAGAATGCTGTTTTTAGGTTTTGTTATCCAAGTGAGTATATATACACTTTAAGACCTCACCAGGAACGACTGCGAAAAATGCAGCACAAGGTCCTCTGGTAGGATTTGAAGCTATGGCCCTGTGATTCCAGTGCAGCGCTCTAACCAACTGAGCTACAGACTACAGAGGCCAGCTGTTTAGCTGTAACTGTAAGTTCATGGATATATAGGTGATCGGGTGTGCAGGTTGTGATAAGGTGGACTTCAATGATCTGGTTTCTTGCACTTCACTTGGTGGAATTAATATCAGAATGCTGTTTTTAGGGTTTGTAATCCAAGTGAGTATATATACACTTCAAGACCTGACCAGGAATGACTGCATAAAATGTAGCACAAGGTCCTGTGGTAGGAATTGAACCAACGGCCCTGCGATTCCGGTGCAGCTACAGAGGCCAGCTGTTGAGCTGTAACCGTAAGTTCATGGATATATAGGTGATCGGGCGTGTGGGTTGTGATAAAGTGGACTTCAATGATCTGGTTTCTTGCACTTCACTTGGTGGAATTAATATTAGAATGCTGTTTTTAGGGTTTGTAATCCAAGTGAGTATATATACACTTCAAGACCTGACCAGGAATGACTGCATAAAATGTAGCACAATGCCCTCTGGTAGGAATTGAACCAATGGCCCTGCGATTCCGGTGCAGCACTCTAACCAACTGAGCTATAGAGGCCAGCTGTTGCGAAGTGCAAGTAACCAGATAATTGAAGTCCACCTTATCACAACCCGCACACCTATATATACATGAACTTACGGTTACAGCTTAACAGCTGGCCTCCGTAGCTCTGTTGGTTAAAGCGCTGCACTGGAATTGCAGAGGTTCAATTCCTACCAGAGGACCTTGTGCTGCATTTTCACAACCCGCACACCTATATATACATGAATTTATGGTTACAGCTCAACAGCGCTAGCTGGCCTCTGTAGCTCAGTTGTTTAGAGCGCTGCACCAAAATCGCAAGGCCGTAGATTCAATTCCTACCAGAGAACCTTGTGCTGCATTTTTCGCAGTCGTTCCTGGTCTGGAATTAAAGTGTATATATACTCATTTGGATTACAAACCCTAAAACCAGCATTCTAATATTAATTCCACCAAGTGAAGTGCAAGAAACCAGATCATTGATTTTGCCTTGGCCACATGTTTCATGGCTTGTGTTTAGACTTTAGTCCTACATAAACTCGATGGTTTCATTTATAAGGTTAAAAGCAAGGCACGGTTTGATCATTTATCAATTTCCTATTAACACTATCAACTAACAAATATTAGTATCGTCACAATATTAGCAGACACAAGGATACACAATATTACATAACGCAGCCTATTGTAATATATCATGTAGCCAATTCACTTGATAATGAAGTGTCTCTGTCAGAACTTGGTTCTGAACTGTCTGTGTCAGGGTTGGTAGTGCCAACAATAACAAGCTTTCGTTCGTAGGGATGCAACTACCTCACTACCTGAAAAAAATGTCGACGTTTCGAACGAAGGCCCTTCGTCTGGAGTATTAAACTCAGTAACTTACTAACTCCAGACAAAGAGCCTGCGCTAGATACGTACACATTCTCCTTATATTTATCAGGTAGTTGCATCCCTACCAACGAAAGATTGTTACAAGGTTTTAGAAGCTACTATATATTTGAAAACTTACCCTCTGGCAGTCTGAGCGTTGCAAAATCATGTTGTTGACATATATAATACGGCAAACCGCCAGACACATGCACGGCTTCTGGTGTTATCATTTAGAACAGTTTGTCTCTCTGAATGTAAGTTATAATTTATAAACCGTTTGCCGAGCGAAATCAGGAATCAGCAATAACAAATATAATTCATAATCTAGACACAGCTTTAGACTTCAGAGGAAACCCACGCAATACTGGCAAGCTTCCAAATTGTTTGTGTGCCAATCAGAACACTACGTGTATTTGTATCTCGTCGTTCATTGGCTCCTGTCTGTGGGTTAGTGCTAAGTTAAATTTTAATTGAACTTCGCCGTATGAAATTTGAGAACACTGACAGACTGACAAAGGTTGAAAATTTGCCATTATATATGAACAGTTTTTATGCGGAGCATTAAAAACGTATTGAGAATCAAACTTTATAGCACACGCTTACAGACTACGCAAACATTCGACGAAAACATGTAACTTATCCTGCGTGCAAGAAGGAGTTTATATCGAGGACTATGTTTTGAAAGAATTTGCCGTGTGAAAAGCGACAGGCCGTTTATAGACGTTAAATAATATCTTATTATCTTACGATATAAAGAGGTATACAAACTATTTTGGATCCAACTTGGCTTTCAAAGACCTCTGATCCATGGATGATCCATAAAGAATTTTGGTATTATTAAAAGTACAGACGGTAGCGCTGAACAGGACACTTCACAACGACAGCGCCATATTTAGTCGAGGCTCAAGGTATGTGCTTTATACGTTTTGCTGTGATATAACATTAATACTGTCGTTTGTTCTATTGTCATTTCGCTGCAAGTTATTTTCGTTTAGCTTTAGTTTTATGAAATAAAATTTATACACATAAACAAATATTATCGAAGGAAAACCCTCACAGAATTTATTCATTCGGCCACAACAATCCAGTGTTATTTTATAGCCGTTTTTGTTTGCTAGCGCTATTAATATATCTATCAAAGGTGGGTTTAATAACTTTAATAGCGCTAATCTTGTGTTAAAATTTAACGTGCTGTTTTCGTTTGTGTATTTCTGCACGTGTGTTTATTTCAAAACTTCAGAGAAGTAAACTCTGATCAAGACAAGATCTCGGAAGATATATTTCCAATTTTATAGACAAGCTGCCAGGAAGTTTGCCTTGAATTTTGGTGATTTGAACTATCAAATGAAAGTTTCAAACATATTTATACAAAATACCGGTCGCTCCAATGTCAAGGTGAACGAGAAAGAGGGGGTGGGTGCCACACGGCTTTAGTTTGCTCATGCATGTCTTGCTTAACTTAGAAAGTATATGTATGTGTTGTTTATCTGACATTGGATCGCAATATCAAAGTCTATTTGCCAGACAGTGGCTGACACAAGTTCTCCTTGTTTGTTCAATGTGTAGTTAAGTTGTGCAGACATCTGCCTACTGTGCTAGGTTACATACCATAAATCTCCGACTATAAGCCCTGGGGCTTGTCGTAGAGATTTTTGATGTATGGGCTTATACAGGGGGGCTTATATAGGGGGGGGGGACTTACACATGGACGATCTTTTGTGTTAGTGTAATAGTGATAAACAAGTATATTACCATAATAGTGATAAACAAGTGTTAAGCATAGTAATAATAGTGATTAATAGTGATAAACAAGTGGGCTTGTATTCAGGGAGGCTTATATTTGTAATGAGGTGAGCGTTAGTACATGTGGTGGGCTTATGGAGGGGGGGGGGCTTATATTTGGAGGTTTACAGTATCGAATCACAAGGTTAGTTAAGTCACACTTCCAAAATTGAATACATTTAACTGCCTCCTCTTGATTTGATTTATTAATTGCATTGGGCACCAATATGCTCTATTTTATAGCCAGCCACCTCTTTTATAAGTAGAGCCTGCCCGAAAGCCCTAGTCAAATTGATGCCGCCCACTTAGTTAATATTCCATATTAACACCGCCCACTCGAAATAGTTTTGTATAAATTGATGACTTAAAATTTTAATTGTTGCATATTTACTATAGCCTGCGCTACATGCTTTCAATAAACTTTTTACAATAGATAGATAGCGATTCAACTGCCTGGAAATACAAGCAAAAATCGGCATTTCGAGCGAAGGCCCTTAGTAGGCCCAGTAATAGACGAAGACCGTTCGAAATTATATTATGCTTTGCACCTGTATGGCTGTACTACAGTTATAAATATTGCAGTATTAAATATAATGACTTAGGAAAAGTTTAAATAGACCCCTTCCTGTGTTATACTCGTTGGCAGGCAAATGTATTTTAAAAGCTCCAAAGAGAGCTTCGTATTATTATGGTGTACAATGGGGAATGTATTGTTTTATATAATCGTAATTTGCCAGCCAGCAAAATATAAACAAGGCAAGGACAGCCAAAGTTTTATACTCTATATACTATAGTGACCATACGGTAAAATCATACGACATATGCAGTAATAGCAGTATGGCTTGCCGTATTCTGTTTAGATACCGGTATATGTTATACATTTTACACTTTGTCTTTTGAATTTTATATTTTAGCCGACAGGTTTACACTTTAATATAGCGATGCCGTTTGTTTTTACTGTATTTATTTTTAAATATTTGAATAAATTAGCGTAACATGTCAATCAAACTGTCGTCAACATAAATTCAGCCAATCACAATTCTCGGCGGCTGGCTGCCGAGAGTCATCAATTTGACTAGGGCTTTCGGGCAGGCTCTCCTTCAATAGAGCCGGCCACGCTGGCTATCTATTTTATTACTTGACTCTGTCTAATGCCAGATGATTTTATTTGCTTAGGGTCTCCCATGAATTGGTTAAAACCATTGTGTCGAATGGGTTAATTGTATGTATATTATGTTCTGGGATCAGGTCAACTTTCGTACAGTGTTTCAATTGTGTCACTATCAGAGTGATGCTCATGCCTGGCAACCTCGTTCCCAAGGCTTTCATGTGAGGACGAATGGAGAGACGAGAAAGCCCTGGTATGGGCCATTCAATTTTGCATTCTGATTGGCTAACACCATATTGTCTAAAAATAACTGAACTTGAAAGTTGACAATAACAATTCAACATTTGTATTTTTATGATTCTTGTGTGTACGAGTATGTTTTCTAAAATAATCTTTCAAAGTAAGACGTTTTCCCGACTGCATGATTTACTTTCGCCTAGGCCGGTTACAAAGCTCAAAAGCCATGTCGACATTAAGCAGTAGTTTACTTGAAAATCTCCAGAAATATCGGTATATCTTAGAAGACATAGGATCTTCAGAGATATCAGCTGATTCGCGCCGAACTTCGCTACACGGCATAAATAATATCAATTGAGAAGCGTTTTGGCTGTTTATTTGTTTCGAAGACTTGTATATTTCATTAAAGAATATCTCGCCACTCCTTGACGAGTAGCTGTCAAATACTGCCATTTTTTGGGTAGTCATGTGACTGGCCCAGACCAGGGCTTTCTCGTCTCTCCCCTCGTCCTCATATGAAAGCCCTGAGAACGAGGTTGCATGCCTGGTTATCGAAAAATATTGGCGAGGGCATTGTCCACCTAGAGAAGGAATTTGGTATGAATATTGTTCGTTCTCAATTTCTGGGGTTTTTTTAGGGACTGAGGAGAAACTGTACAAAACATAAATTTTGCCCCCCTCCCCCCCCCCCCCTCACCCTCTAGCTCTTTATCTTTATTTAGAGAAACAAAAACTCTAGCTCTTTAGTCTTTATTTAGAGAAACAAAAATAGATAATGGGACCAATAGACAATTCCCATTACAGACTAATTTTTTATCTTAGCAAAAAAAGTATATTCCCAGGAAGGGCTTACTAAAATTAGTAAAATTGCAAAGTTTGGTTGCAAAATGTTGTAAAATGTAGAAAATAAGACTTCCAAAGTTTGCAAATTTTGTATACTTTTGTATTGCAATTTTCGCATGCAATACAAAAGTATACAAAATTTGCAAACTTTGCAAGGCTATATTTTCCGTATTTTACAACATTTCGCAACCAAACTTTGCAATTATTTACTTATTTTAGTATGCTCTTTCTAGCTGTGGTGATTTATTTGCATCAAGGCCAGATTTTGAGGGGAGGTGTGGATAGGTGCGCACCTCCACTGAGATCGTTTTGCACCTCCCCTGAGAATTTTTCCACCTGAAAGGTCATGCACCTCCCCTTGGGAAAGTTTCAATGATGGAACAAAGTGAAAATGTGATGGTTGCTTAGGGTCTACACTTCGTGACGTAAGAAAGTTTTCTCTGTAAAATTGAAACAGTGATAGCTATTCACCTCTGAGTCAGGTACCCTTTTAATGCAATGTTTTGAAAGAAACTTTGTAGCAATTGTAGTGAAGGGCAAGATTGGAGTCATACAGTCATAATTCATTAATACACTGGTACATATGTACACTACATCATACCTCACCTCGTTGATATTGGGGGGTATCAGCTAGACCGCTGCACCTCCCCTAAATTTTTTTCCACCTCCCCCACTATTTTCACCAAAATCCGGCCTTGATTTGCATCTCTTTGCCTAGTTCTAAAATTAGTCTGTAATGGGAATTGTCTATTTACATGAACATAAAAGACTTTTTATTTGGCTTCCATTTATGAATATTAAAGGTCTATAAACATTGTTATTTGTTGTTAAGTTGTTTTGTGATACATTTTTAAGACTACTAATGTTTTTTGAAACTGGTAAATCTTTTCAAAGCCCCCCTTATTTCGTCTCTCTGTGTTTTTTTTCAAAGACCCCCCCTTTCAGATTTTAAAAAATTTAAAGCCACCCCCCCCAGTTTCTCCTCAATCCCCCTGTACAATAAATAATGAGCGGTCCCTTAGTGAAATCGCCTATTTGGGCACTTTCTCAATGTATGAGCAACCGAAATAGCCCAATCATAATTTTAGCTTAGTGGTTGCAAAGACTAAAATATGCACTAAGTTAGCCCATATACATAACAGTCCATAGGTATCTCTAACACTCCATAGCTATCTATAACTGGAAATGTGTTGTCACTTGTCACACTGTCTCTCTAGATTTGGTATTCAACAAAATTACAAGTTTCATATGTAGGGCAATAGTGGGTGAATAAATCGGGCTTAAAATGGGGGATTTGTGGTGTTAAAGTCCCAGAACTTAGAGTGGTGTTATTGTTGTAGCTATGGCCGAGGCTAGGATAATGCAACAAAGAACTCAAAGTAAAACAGAACGTCATGCAGGAGTAATTTCAGATTGAATGCGGGAGTAATTATAAGTATCTGAATGAATTGTATTTAATACTGAAAAATACACTATGCTAAACTTTGATCACAATTCTCATTTGTATCATTTCTCATTCATTTATTGTGACATAATTTTGAGTACTGTACCAAATTCTCATTCATTGAGATCAAATTTTGTAGTAAATGTGTAAGTATGCTATTGCATTTCCTAAATCAATGCGTTTTTGTATCAAATAGTGTGTTATATT